CGTATCCGCGAGAGTGCGTCGGCGTTTGTATTTTGTTTCCCGGCTTTATGTATGATTTTATAGTCATATTCACTTAATCTCAGTTTGTAACGGGTCAATTTACTGTTGGGTTCTTTTAAGGAGTCAAGCCAAGCAAGAGGTCTGTGGTCAGTGTATATCGTAAACTTATTGCCGTATAGGTAGGGACGGAAATGTTTCACAGCCCATACTATGGCGAGGAGCTCTTTTTCTATTGTACTGTATCGTTTTTCGGAGTCATTAAGTGTCCGGCTAGCATACGCTATAGGGTTGTCACTGCCAATGGAGCCTTGTGAAAAGACAGCACCAATGGCGTAGTCAGATGCGTCAGTGGTAAGTATGAACGGTTTTGTAAAGTCGGGGTATTGTAGTAGTGGCGCGTTAACTAAAAGTTCTTTACATTTTTCAAATGCATTTAGGTATTTTTCGTCAATTGCAATTTTACAATTCTTCTTTAGGCATGCTGTCATCGGTTGTGTTATTTTTGAAAAGTCTTTAATAAATTTTCTATAATAGCCAATAAGTCCTAAAAAGCTTTTAATTTCGGTTGTCGTTTTTGGTAATGGGTAGTTCAGTATAGCGTCAATTTTGTCAGTATTCGGTTTGAGTCCTTCAGGTGTAATTGTGTGTCCTAGATAAGCTGCTTCTTTACATAAAAATTCGGATTTGTCGAGTTGCACTTTCAAGTTAGTGTATCTGAGTCTATCGAAAACTGCTCTAAGTTTTGTCAAATATTCTTCAAGGCTGGACGAAAAGATGATGATGTCATCAACACAACATGAACATTGTCCATGGCTCTTTGGAATGTCGCTGGGGCTGTTTTTAGTCCAAACGGCATACGAAGGAACTCATAATGTCCAAATTGAGTCGAAAACGCTGTTTTGGGTTGGTCATTTTTTTCAATTTCTATCTGATGGTAACCACTAGCTAAGTCAAGAACAGAAAAGTAACAGCTTTTGCCTAGTTTGTCGAAAAGGTCGGTTATATTGGGGAGTGGGTATTTGTCATCAACTGTAACGTCGTTTAGTCGCCTGTAATCTATCACCATTCTATATTTTTGTTCACCACTAGCGTCAAGTTTTTTTGGGACTAAGTGCACTGGGGCACTCCATGGAGAATGGGACTCTTGAATGACATTGTCTTTTAGTAATTTTTCAACTTGGTTTCGAATTTCAGCGGTTTCTGCAGGAGGTTGACGATATGGCTTTACATAAATAGGGTCTTCGTTAAGAGTTCTAATTTTGTGTTTCACTTGATTGGTGAAAGTCAGTGGTAATTGATCGGTATAAAAAATATCTCTGTATTCTGAACATAAGTTAAAGATTTTGTTACGTTCTTCGGAATTCATATGACTTAGACGTAGTTTAGACAAATTTTGTTTCAAAATTTCGTTTTTTTCATTTTCATTTAATACACACGTGTTATTCACATTGATCTCTTGATTGATTTATATTCTGTGACGCTAAGGGGCTTACTAAATTTAATTTCATAGTGATTATGAGAAGTGTTTTGAATTATGGTTGTAGCGTAACCTTGTACACATTTTACGAGTGCAGTAGGCGTTCTAACACCTTCACCAAAATCAATATAATTTATAATCGCTTCTCTCTCTTCTTCAAAAGATCAACAGGAATTTTCGTACGTGTTTCAGATCGGGGTTCAAGATGAATCGTATAAGGTGGGTTATAAATGATAGGTATTTCTGTGTCTCGCGTCTTTAGTATTTGATTCTTCATGTCAATATTTGCATCAAGTTGTTTCAGTAAGTCAGAGCCTATCAGTCCTCCGTAACTACTGTCAACGTCGTAAACGTAAAATTTATGAAAGTCGGTACTTCTGAAAGTTTTCAACGATGGAATATTTATAACCTCATTATGGGTACTTCGTGCGTGAGCACTAATGATTTCAAAAGGCTCGTAAGATTTAAATTCTGAAAAATATTTGTCAGCAATTTCGGGGCTAACGAACGATCGAGTGCTACCTGTATCGATCATGAATATAGAGTCTATTTCAGGAATTTTTATGTGGGGTAATTTTAATGCTGCATGATAATTCAAGTGTACTATTTCGGGGGGTGTGTCGTAGAGGCCTGTAACCGAAAATTTTCAGTGTTAATGGTCTCCTGTAAATCCTGCGCTTGTTCAAAATTTTCATAATTGTTTTCGATATTTTCGTTTCTATCTATTTCCTGATAGTCATAGGGAGAAAGCTCTCCTTGCAATGCATATTCTGTTTCAGGGATATATTCAGGCACATTTAATTCGTTCGCGTAAAATAAATTGTTGGGCTTTTGCATACCTGCATAGTTCAATTTTTGTGGGATTGCCGTACGCATAGAAATATCGTTATCATGTTTCAGTAAAGATCGCTGACCTTGTGTTTGTTGTGGGTATGAATTTGGAATACCAAACTTAAATTGGGGTTGGTATGCAGGCTGACCATAATTGTTATAACTGAACTGACTATTATTTGGCATAAATGGTCTGTACCCTGTTGGTTGTGGCGGAATCCCGAATTTGAAATTTGTTTGATTAGGCAATGGCCTACTCTGATTTTGGAAAGGAATTCCAAACTTAAAACCTGGTGAAAAAGATTGTTGAGGAATACCGAATTTGAAGCCTTGATTTTGCGGAAATTTATTTGGTGCATTATTGAAATTTTGAGGTTGAGTAAATTTAAAATTCTGCCCATAATTATTATTTTGCGGAATAAAAGGCTTGAAATTTGGCATTTGTTGTGTATTATACTGTGGTGATTTATGTTGAGTTGAATTTTGCCGATTTTTATTACGGGAATTATATTGACTCAAAAAGTTGACTTCCTCCATTACTATGGAGAGTGCGTCTTCAAGTTTATCGCAATTTTGAAGTCGCACTACACGAATCATATCTTCCGGTAAGTTGTAGAGAAATACATTCAACGACATATGGTTATATATAGCCATTTTTGCTTCTTTAATTTGATCATCATCAAGCAAATTTACCTTGGAAAATAAGGTGCTCCTAACGTTTTGGATCCGATTACAGAATTCTAAATAAGATTCGCCATGTTTAATTTTTAAATTTTCCAACTCTATTGCAATGCAATCTTCTGATCTAGGATCGCCGAAATGCTGAGTAAACACTGACTTTAATTCATCCCAAGTGGTGATATCATCACGCTCACTTATCAAGTGGGCGGCCTTACCTACCAAGCGGCTAGTAATTGCATGAAAAATATAAATGTCCTGAGCAGGGTGTCCTTCTCTTCTAAAAGAACTTATTATATATTCACTCTTTTTTATGAATAAATTCAATAACCTTTCATCTCCATCAAATTTTGGTACAATTTTCAATAGTTCTGCGGGAATTGTGCGTATTTCATTCATTTTCTACTATTTTATTTAACAGTTTCAAATAAAATTAAATTCACAATTGTAATTACTTGTTATAGCAAAGATTCACAATTTTAATTATTTATTGTATTAAAAATTCACAATTTTAATTATTTGTTATATTATAATTCTACAATTTCAATTCTTTGTAATATTAAAACTAGATTCAATAGAACTCCTATAGATTTTATATAGAGAGCTATTTAAAACTTAACTAAATACACAGCAAATGGAATAAGAACAGGGAACGGACAGGATAGTGAAGAGGTCTACTCACAAAACGCTGATCCCCATTTCCTCCAATTATAGCTGCACTATGAATTCTCCTCCAAGTCGCTGCGACTAATTTATTTGGTTCGTAGATACCAGTTCGACGTAAAAACGTACACGAAACACTTCACTCGGACTAATTTAGAGTCCTCACAGGTGTAAGATTTCGTACCGGTATCCTACCGGCTGCGCCAGTCAAATCGCGACGGAGAGAAAATGACTTTTTGAAAACTAATTTTAAAATAAAAACGAACAATTCGTTTGATGGTATATATTCGATATAAGACTGATTTATTTAAATTCAATATTCTTACTGCTAAGCGCCTTATCTACTATAGACATGCAACTATGCAGTTTTGGGTGCAGGAGCATTTATGATGACCATGCCATCTCTATAGGAGTGAGACTGTGTAACTAAGTAGCGTTTTTTAAGTTTACCCTGAATATAAATGTTTATAAACTATACTTTAAGGAGTAATTTCATGGTAAACGTTAGAACCACTCAAACGGAATATTATCATATTTATCCAAGTACACCAAAAATTTAATTAGTGCTTTTTAAGTGCAGGATTTGCGGTGTATTACTGCATTTTATTTCAGATGTTTTTGTTGGTAGTACGGAGGGTATTTATTTAGCAACGCAGAATAATAATTTTTATTTATAAAAAACTTGTATTTAAACTGAATGCTTTTCTAATTTGCGAAACCAAATAGCTGCCATTTTGCAGTAGGAGGAGCGCATCGCGTGAGCGGTTAGACTCTCGCCTCTCTCTTGTTCTTTTAAGATAAAAAGAAAAGTATTTTGGAAACCATAAACAATCGACCGCGAATGTGTCTGAAATGTATTACAGTTTTCATTGTTATTGCCAGCAGACATTATTATGTCTGCCGGTAATAAAAATAGCCTCTTTTTGTTATTCTATTTAATGACGTTTGTAACTCATAAGTCTTCTTATTATAAAGATTTCTTTACATACAGGCTAGACTGTTTTAACTGTTCTGGCAATCGGTATATTTTTTTCCTTACTTATTTTTATAACTAAGAAGCTATTTTATTTACTTAAGGTATAACTAAAAACTTTGTACGGCTTTTGACATTTCATTCGTCTTAGCAAAATAAAAGAAAACAACATACGCTCATTGACCGTCGCCAATGTGCAAGAATCGCTAAATACAAAAAAAAACTTCTTCAGTATTTACTATAGATGCTAAACGTGTAAATGATCATGCCTAAGAATTTTTTTGAAGCTAGACGCAAACAGTTTTTACAAGTTCGAAGTCGTGTATATTTGTTTTATTTTTATTATAGAGTATAAGTAGCCTGTGTAGACACTCACCATAAACTGAATTAAAAGTGACAACAATTAGATTCTTCACCCTATATATTCAAATTCATAATTTATACTGGCAGAACTTGTTTGTGTGTAATACAGGACAATTAAAACCAAGTTCCAATATTGAATTGTTGAGAAAAAGATACTGTTTATAATCATTACCTGTCTCATATAGTCTAAATAATGAAGCACTAAAACATTATGTGGGGTGTAATCGTAAAGTGTGCCTAGGCGATTATTCCGTAAGTATATATCAAAATAATCAATAACATTTAAACTGATATTGAAAATACCCATGAATCAAATGAAGTCAATAACTTTTTTGAATAAAACGCTCCAGTACATTTAAATATGAAATTCATAGAGAGATTTTAATTGGCCTACTGACCATCTGAATTTTTCGGAATTTATATGTGAAATTTAATATGAAATATACCACGACCTTTTCTGTGAAAGTAAACATGGTGAGGATATCTGCACTTCGAAGAAGGTTCACAACACTCGGAAAACGTATGAAGTCCCGAACCCGCGTTAGGCCAGCGTAGCAGACCATGGGCCAAGTCTTCGCATGAGAGAATGAATGAATTTATGTTGTATTTAATGCAAAAACATAATGTAACTTATTAAATAAGTGCCAGGTAAAGGGACGGACAACACGCAAAGAAATTCAATAAAATATATAGAAATAGAATCAAAGATTTATAAAAATCTATTCCGGAACTCTAATCGTATAATAACCGAAGGGTAAATTGTTGAAAGTCAAATAACGTCCCTTAACATGTTGGATTTGATTTATGTTTTCTTTTTGTATACCAACATTATAACCTGCTAACTCTTCAGGGTAGTCAAACTTGAATGAAACGGTGAAAGTGCCTCTGTTCTCCGGAAATAAAGCACGATATTTCTTAAGATAAAGGTATTTCTGCGCGTCTGGCAAATAATGAACCGCTCCCAAAATCTGTTTCTTTTCTTCTGATAAAAAAAAAGGTATACTATATTTGAAAGGACTCCTTACAATATCTCCGGCCTTTGAATCTATAGTTGCCATCAGAGCATCCAAAGCATGTTTTTTATAGTTCCGATTTTGTAAACCGTATTTTGTCACAAGCCAACTGTTGACTCGGCCTGATTTGTCAATAAGTACGTTCTTCGACTGCAATCTGTTTGCTCCTTCCTTATGGTAAACTTTAATTATATCATCCTCCATCAGTGGTAATACATCAATACTTACGGTATTATTTAATCCAGTGATTTCTCTTCTATATTTAGTCACACCATCTCCTGTTGTAACTACAATGATGGCATAATTGCCGTTTTCAAAATAAGGATGGGCTTCGCTAAGCATTACTGACATAATAATAGAGCCCTCCTCGTAGCTAGCTCTTAGAACAGCAAACAAAGCCCGACCTAATCCATAAAATTCAATCGACTGATCCATAAGCACACTGCAATTAATTTTCTCAAAACCGAATTGTATTGAGTTTTCATAATCTTTCACTTCTATGTACTGCGGAGTAGTTACATATCTTTCCGCAGATTTTCCGTGAAATTCCACTGAGTAAATTCCGTGCAGAATACCTTCAAAATGTAATAGCGTTTGGTGTTCGTATATTGTATCTTCTACAACTAAATCTTGACCACGTTTTAATTGCATCTTCGTGCCAATTAACTCTTCGACGTCTTGTTTTAAGGTAATGTCAATACTACCTTCTTTGTAGATTTTACCGATTTTATTATTAAGTTCAGGTTCCACAACACACTTCGGGAACAATGAGATATACTTCATCAAATAAAGGGTACGGTGTGGTTGTGGAAGAGAGAGGATAGCAATCAATAGGTGTTGTAGATCTTCAGACTCCATGAATTGTAAACTTGAGCTAAGCAAAGTTATCGCTTGCTCGTCTAACCTTTTTACGAAGTCATAGAGAGGATCATTTCGGAGTCTCAAGTTTTTCAACCCATATCGAGTAACTAGCCAACTATTGGTAGTGTTGATGGTATCTACAATGGCTTCTTGGGAGAACAACCTTAAGGGGACCTCTAAATGGTATATTTCAAGTACATAACCTTCTCTCATAGGAATTTCATTGTGTGACAAATTGGTGGTGCCTTGCACGGCTATCTCAAATATTTTCTCGCCAAGATTGTCCCTTAATTCTACACTCATGTATGTTTTTCCCGTGTAATGTTGGTGTGGACTTGCTCCGGTAATTTTAACAACGCAAGATTCATTGTCATAGTTGGTGGCTAATTCCCCGAACGTTAGATCGCCCAACCCTTTAAACACTAAGATTTGATTGGCAAACTTGTTGCGAGTTGGATTTGACAAAAGGTTATAATAAAATTTTTGTTCAGGACAATCTGAAAAATATTAATTTAAGTTAGTTTTGTTTTTTGTTAAAAAGTCAATTCCAAGGAGGGTCAAGAATTTTTAACAGCTTAGGTAACAGTTAAAATAATCAGTTTTAATGACGAGTTACAAATAATTTCAAACAAACTTAATGAACATGTTCGTGAAAAAATTAGGATCGAAATTATAAAATAAATTATAAAAATGGTTTTTTTTTTAAAGTACGGCAGTTTGGCACTTACCTGATCTTTCCAAATAGGTAGATATTTCAGCAACAACAACGAAGAAAAGAATCGTAGACAGCCACATTGTTAAAAATATGCGGACTATGTTTTCAAACCCTTTCCTTTTTGTTTTTTCTATCAATTTTGGTTGACGACATTGATATCATACGATATTTACCTACAAGAATAATTATTCACTTTCAATGGCATACTATACTATTAGAAAATTACTTTAAAAAGACATATAACCTATTTACAGTTCCAGATGAGGACAAAGTTCTATGCTATGAAGACAAAATATAAGGATTTTACACGAAGATAAATTCAAATATATATTTATTGAAGAGATAAGGAAATTACACTTGAAATCTTCACATTGACTAAACACTACAACTTATTCCTAAACAGAACGAGTAAAAAACTCTAGGGGTTGCTCTTTGTAAATAGACATTTGCACACGTTTTTCATTAACAATATTTATTCCAAATATTACAGATCGAATCAACTTGCAAAAGCTGAACAGGTTACTACCATGGATTTTTGTTATCCTTGTACGCAGAAGCTGTATATTAATAAATCTTTAGCAGTTTCTTTTTTACTATAGTTTTAAACCTCGTAAATGGTAAACTTAATATCAACCGGAATCTTATATAGAAGAATTTGCCCGTTAAGTTAATTTGTTATTTTAGAAGATAGATGGAAGAGAGACGAAATAATGGCCATATATTCCTGATAACACATTAGCGATACAGCTCTTATAAATATCAACTCTCGCTTGCACTGAAATATAGACAGGCCAACTATTGACCTGTGTGTACGTCTCCGTATATTCCAAAAAATATTCTGTATTTATTGTACCGTTGCCGTTCTATTCGGTGGTGTGGGAAAAACAGCAAAACATCTAATTAATATAATAGTTATTAATACTTTTATTATCAGATTAAGGTATATCTATGTGATAAACTCTGATCACCACACTAGGCCACGCCTGTGTCGTGGTTATCACGCAAGACGTTTATGACAGCGGACGAGTATTACAGCATCTCTTCTATACAAAAGTCGTAACATAAAATAAAATATATATGAATAAGAAATAAAGAATTAATGCACTGCAACCAATAAAGTAAAAGTAATATGAAAAGTTATAAATGCAACAACTGACATGAGAATAACTATTATAATAACGTATAATACGTAGGTGTAAGCGTATGTGTGTGTGTGTTCGTGCGTGTGCGTTTTCGAATTTTCATTGCTGGTTAAACGTCTCTATCACTTTTTAAATATCAGCATTGTTTCGGACTCCTTATAGGTCATGTTTCATAATTCTTGCTTTATTTTTCTTCTGACTTCGTACACCGACAGTTCCCTCATGTACATGGAAAAATTTATTATAAATAAAGGGAAACATAAAAGAGGGAAATCGAGAGGCAAAGACAGTTTTTACAGACTGAAGTGGTATTTTAACAACTCGTATTTTTAAAAATGACTGATAGCAATCCGCATTCAGTACTGTCTTATGAGTACTTGCAACTGCCTTCAGTATGTACAATTTCCTGACGCTTAAAACCTGAGTTTCGCTGTGTAACTTATAAGTTGGGTACCTGAAGGGTTTATTACGCATCACCTTCAGAACAGCTTTCCGTGCAGTTTCTAAGCAAAATAGGTGAGATTTTGCTGCAGTGTTAACCGAGTGTAAGAGCTCAGTGTTAGCTATGTCTCTCGGTTGTTTGAATATATGTATATCATATATCATCTTTAACATATATCATCTTTCTAACCCTAGTAGCTGTAGCCGCAATGTGACTTCGAAAGGTAAGTCGTTAATCGAGAATAATGCCCAAGCATTTGATTGTGCTAGATCTTGCAATGATGTCGCAGTTGCAAAAATTGGGGTTCGTATTCCCGACGCTGGAGCCACAGGAGTGAACAACTAGGTTATGTGGAGATTTTTTAGAAGCATTATTGTTTTATGACCAATGCAAGTAGAGCGAAAAAGATGTACATCGTCTTGGCATGGACATGAAGATTTTTCTGATGGGCTCAAACCGATACTGCATCTGGAAGTGTGGAGAGTTCTTAATAAAGAATAACTACTAAAACCTTATCTCGAGTGGTAAGTAATTTGTAATTTATAAATAAAAAACAGTTTTGCACACTCGAACCTTTAATTAATCAATACACCATTTGAAAAATATTACGATAAAGCAAAAAGAAATACCATCAAATTACAAAATGAAGTAAATCACTGCCTTTCACGGCGATTAACACCTGAATATCGCCTAGCACTGCGCATACTATCATCGGGACCGGAAGGTCTGAATAAACCACCATATCTATTAAGAAATTGGCCACTAGTATCACCTGGAAGGGAACGAATAGCAGCCAAAAGTAATTTCTTTTCGGTTGATAGGTACAGAGATGCACTAGATCTAAAGGCACTCGTTGCAATGCCATTAGCCTTTGAGGTTATATACATCAACTGGTTATCCAAAGGAAGATCCTTGAAAATCAAACTGTCATCAATTCTTATGAAATCGAATAGTACTGGATTTACATTAGAATTCACTTCTATATATTGAGGATGTATAATGTATTCTTCAGCACCTCTTCCGCGAAACTCCACTGAATAAACTCCGAACGGCACATTAGCATAGTTGAACAGATTTGCTTGTGGTTGTATTGTGTCTTCTAAGACTACTTCGTCGCCACTTTTAATGTCCACCACCGTGCCCATTAAGTTCTGTAAGCCTTGTTTCGACGACACTACAACAGTGCCTTGTCCCATACTCTCGCTGGTTGTCCTCATTATAAACATCATAGTACATTCCGACATTATTGTACTGTATTTCATCACATACTCAGTTCGGTACGGTTGGGGAAGAGAGCGAACGCCAACTATCACATGCCGTCCGTTATCGGATCCAAAGAAAGCACCCTGTAGGTTTCCAGAGTATTGATACAACTTTTGCAAGAACGTGTATAGAGGATTATTTCCTAGTGCCAAGTTCATTAACCCATATCGTGTCACTAGAAATCTATGTGTAGTCCTGTTTACGCCGAGGTGGGTGATGCCGTCTGGGGAAAGAAGTCTCGCAGATGCTTCCGCGTGAAATATCTTTATTTGAAATCCTTCTCTCATCGGGACTTCATGGAATATAGGAACAGTTTCGCCTTCCACCAGCCTCTCGTATGTTTTAATGCCAGAATTATCCATCACTTCTACACTAATGTACGGTTTTCCTTTCCAAAAACTATGTGGGCTACTCGAGCTTATATTGACTGTAAGGGTTTGTTTTTCATAATGTGTTTGCAAGTCCCCGACTACAGCATTATAGACTCCTTGAAATATTAATATTTGATTCAGGAACTTACTATAAGGTGAGCTTTGTAACATGAATTGTAATTCTTGTTCGTTACAGTCTGTAAAATATGAATTTTAGTTAGTTTCATGAAACATGGTAGTATTCGCCTATTTTAAAAATGTGAAGATTGTGGGTAGCTGAGGTAGTTAGATCGCGTCATAGTCATAGTACGTGGATCTCTTAAAAGTAAGATTCGAAGGCCCGTTTCTTCAAAAAAGGAACTCAACATTGTCCGTAAACTTACCGGAATTCACCCAAGTCGATGTTTCCGCAAAAACAATAAAGAATAGAATCTTAGATGGCCACATGTTCACAAACGTCAGTATAATAGATAGGCTAAGGCTTCTCTTTGTGGTTATGATATCAATTCGGGTGAAAACGATCGAACACAACGCGCAGTGACACTTACCTACAAGAATAATTATTAATTGTTTAATTTCATAATAAATAATAATAAAATATTTCTTTATAAAGGTATAAACCCATTAATTACAAAACATTAGTACATTACACATCAATTTAATTATTAATAGGAAATTATTATTAAAGAATTGATTAATAAAGAATGATATTAAATTAAATTGAATTTTACAATTAGGAATTTAATCATATTTTGCAAACTGAATCTTCGCTTAAAAAGTAGAGCGCAGTGTGCACAGTAGTATTGGCCGATTCGCTCACTCTCGTGGTCTTTTACCAATGTTTTTACATAACAGGACGAAAACATCATCTACTCTATTCACGGCAAACATGCCAGACGCACTAATCGCCGGGTTAGCCACAGCACAATAAGAAACGCATTTAATACATATTGAGATCTGAGTCTATCAAAAGTTCGCTTTGTATAATAATACCCCAACTGACTAGTATAGAGCGCCTGACAATAAGCCCTGAACAGAACAATGTTTACTTGAATATGACAGCTATAAATCGACGTTATTCTTTTTCTCGTGAATTTTTGCTGTAACTGATATTCATTGAAATTGAGTTTTATATTTTTGTTTTAAATCAATAGCCTTACAGTATTTTTATTGTAGACAGCTAAAACGGAGATGTTACACGAGTAAAATCCCACAGCTCACGTGAGAAAGATGTGTATTACAAATAAACCTGGACGTGTTAAGACTTTAAACCTTGCACTTAATTGCACGGAGATAGAGCAACTGATTAAAAGATTAAAACAACATCAATTAATCACAAAAGCGACGACGTTAGTACCGCAAGTTCTCTAAACACTTCGTTGTTTGGTACAATGGTATCTTTCTAATCTCGCAATTCAATCTAGTAATTCCTAAGAGTAATGAGACTAGAATAAGTAGTTGGCCTAAGGAAATAAGTAACAGTAGATAGATAGCGGAATGCAAATAAAGAAAATTGAATATAGATATTTATTAGCAGTAGCTCCTTGTGAGTTCGTCCAGGGTAATACTGCCGTCTTACTTATTTCTCTGCGTTCCGCTTTTGAAGGGTAGGGGTTTCGGTGACGATACAAACACATGGACTGTGAAACGTCATGGTCAGTCATGTCCCATCACTTGATATTACATAAAGGCACTATATTTCTTATCTATCAATCGCAAAAAGCAGGAAAAGTTAAGCGAATAAATGTCAAGGATTTTTATGGAATAATTAATGAAGCATTCTTCATTGCACATTAAAGAAGACTATGACAACGCAGAATAGTAGTGTATTAATGTACAACAGGCGGCTTTGTAGCTCTTAGTGGTGTGTACCAGGGTTGTTGCGAATATCAGCATCGGCATTCATTAATGCTGATATTCATGGCGGATGTTCGAGTTGTGACATAACTTAAAAGGCATGTTGGAATCATTTACAAGCCAGTCAGAAACTGATTGAAAGCCGAAAAAGCAGCTGAGCTGTTGTTTTTGAAATATAACTGATAAAATCCCAGAACGATTAAGCTTGGCAGATTGATTGTTTTCATGCAGCAGACATTACAATAACAAAGAAAATAGAAAGCTTCTTCATGTAGATAGATTCAGTAACAATGAACATTTTCGCGTTTTTTTAATACATAAAATCAGCATCTGCTGATGTTAAGATCAAAAGATTAGCATCCGCATCGGCGTTCGCTAATATTTAAAAAAACTGCATCAGCAACAACCCTGGTTTGTACTCTATTTGGCTTGTTCCAGAGTAAGTAATTCTCGGTAGTAGTTTTGCTAGCTGGTCTATCGTCTAGCTCTAGCATATCGCGTCTTTTAAAGCGTCGCAAATTTACTCATTACCAGTTACTTGTTTGCGACTTAAAGCTCTGAGTTGCACTGCAACTGTTATAGACAGGCGTGTAGCTTACCATCAGGCGCACGAAGTGTTCGTCCCGTCATTTGATATTACAAAAAAAATAGTTTTGAATGTGGTTGATAACTAATTCTTCAAAACTTCAATATAAGTCAATGGTTCAAGTACTTGATTGACGAATTTGCTGCGAGTTATTTCCCAAATTGACTGTATACTTCGTCGGCTTCATCTCGAACGCAACCTGAAACCCGAGAATAGTTTTGTAATAATTATATGCATAAGCCAATTCCGTTTTAAAAGTGTCTTAATTAAAACACATTATCGCATTTTTAGGAAGTCACCACACTTATTAACACAGAAACGACTTAAGACGATTAGAAATAACTTCATGTCCATTAGAGTCCGTATGCAAAAAAAAACGGAAGAATACGCGCATTTCGCTTCCGCTCGGACTGAACGATACGAAATGAGCAACGTGTTTTTCACTCTTGTTACATGGACGTAAAGCTTTTTGTGAGGCATAGTGCGATTGCGTGTGGAGAAATGTGGCAAAGCCTTTAAGCACGTCGGAAAGCAAAATTGTAAGAGTTTTAAAGCGAACAAACTTTCAACAATAATTATTATTTAAATTGAATTAGTTTGTACTTTGAACTTACCCGCCAGACATCTTGAGGACAAAGAATCCTACGACATCACATTTTCACAAATGATATAAATCAACCATTATCGCGTCATACTAAATTTCCAGCTAAAAATGTTCAGTCGAAATTTTTTAAAGTAATATATTTTTCTAATACCAAGTAAACAAAACGAACAGGTCGTGCTCCTGGTTGAGCTTTATATCGTAAAGATCTTAGGGGCACTGCCACTGCACCCGTCACCCTGACACATAAGTTGACAAGTCCCATATGCTTGTAATTTCACCAGCACCCTTAGCGCCCAGACACACGAGGAGAAGGTTTTCGCGCGGCCGCCACACTCGGCGACCGCGTAGGCAAAAGACGAGCTAGTGCCTTCCAGCTAAACGCTAAATAAATAGAGCGTATTTTGCCATGACAGTTCGGTCTGTGAACACGTGCACGCGGTCGCTGGGCGGCGGCTGCCGCAGACTCCGCTCTTCGACCACGCGAGGTGAGCGCGATAAAAGTCGTGTCGTATAAACGCGCCCTTACACTTCCAAACCGGATCGCAGTAATAATGCTCACGTCACTGCTTGACGACAGAAATAGGAGATACTTCCTGGACGAACGCTTTCACAAGGAGCTCGACTGCTACTAAATTTCAATTATTTCAGTTAAATGATATCGATCCCGAATTAACAGTACATATGGATTAAACAACGAAAACCGATAACTAATTTATATAATTTAAAACTACTATTAACAAAAGAAAATGGAGAATGGTACCTATATAAAATAGACGTAAGGATTTTAAGGAGTACGTCTTTATTTTCATATCTTAGCATCGTTGTTGCTTCATTTTATGTCGCTATTTACCCGTAAGTTGATTTGCACGCAACACGCCTCTATTTGTTTGTGGCAAATGACTTTACTCAACCTGATGTTTAAAGGAAAGTGGTGTCGAAACATTAAGGAACCTTTGATTCATTCAACTCACTACTGCAGAGGAAATTGGGTCAAAGTGGCAGAGCGTCTAAACTCGCCAAAAGTCGCCGCCCATTTTTTGTCAACCGTCACCCGTAACCATCGAGTATATAACCAGAAATAGATACGAAATAAGGGCCATATATTCCTGGTAACACATTGCGATACAGCTCTTATAAATATCAACTCCCGTTTGCACTGAAATATAGACAGCCCAACTACTGCCCCGTGTCTCCGTATATTCCAAAAAATATTCTGTATTTATTGTAATAAACATCATATCTCTACTAACAATGCTGTGCTGTTCTATTCGGTGGTGTGGGAGAAACCGCAAAACATCTAATTACAAAACAAGCGGAATCACATTTCTTTGGTAATTAAATATGTAATATTAATTTTCGTCCATTATAGCAAAGCTCAAATTAACTGATTGATTTGAAGTGAAACAGTTGACGACACCCGTCAATTGTTTCGTACTCAGGCTAGCCAATCGGAGCGCAGTTGTCACAATAATGATGTGGCAGAATAGTTTTCAAACAAATTAAACGACATTTCGTCTATTTCTGGTTAATACTCGATGCCCGTAACATTTTTTGGGAAATAATAAAGATTCCAAAAACCAAATTAAATTGCAGCGAACTGTTGTCAGAGCTGCTTAAAATATGTTACTGAAAACTAAACAAAGAATATACCGACAAAATTAATCAATATTTAGCAAACAATCAAGAACTTGTTCAAATGACAACAATATAACGAGTTCTTTCTATAAAATTATTTTTCTACGAAAAAATACTGTACTTCCGAATGAAATACTTCTTCAACTCAACGATGTATATTGTTTATTATCATTCCTAACATAGTACTTTTCTATTCCTGTACTTTAATCTGTCAATTATAACTTCGTAAACCATATCCTAAAAGCGCTCTTTTTAGTTCTGAATCAAAATTCTATTGTCTTATTATCATATTTTTTAAAGTACCGTTCACAGAACCAAACAGACTTGTAAAGAGTTTAAAAAAAAAAGTCGAATTTTTGCTAATTAAAATATCAAATAGGACTACTCAAACGCAGTACTGCCTCCTGATTGGTTAAATCGGCTTAAAAGTCTTGCAACCAGACCATAAATCTTTATAAAAAATAGTTAAAATATAGCGGTACTTGGCCATTTCTATTCTATCTCATTGGTTTGAAGAAGGTATGAAGATGCTGTATAGTCCTTTGCCTACCCTATTTTAAATAGATTAATATTAAAAATTGGGTTGTTTTCATGGGTTCATAGCAAAATATACATGAAATATTGGTTCTGTTTCATAATTTTATTTACTCGTAGAAAAAGTATTGTATAAAAAGTATAATTAGGTCTTAAAATCTCATACCTATTACTTAGGCCACAAACCCAAATACAAACCCTCATTAAGCAACGGTTGCATAAAATAAGTACTATTCCGGTATGATGGAGTAATTTAAGAAGTACGGAAGTTTATGAAATGTATAATAATAATAATGAGATTTATTCATCTAAAACATGAC